TGGCACAGGACAGAGCGGAGTTTAGGGCTGTTGTACATAGGGTCGCTATGAGTCGCAGGCGACTCGACGGCACATAACAACAACAACAACAACATGACTTCTCCACCAGTATGCAAATGTCATCTCATATACTTTAGGTATGTTGTCAGGAGGAAAAAGTATGTTGTCCTTGGAAAAAGACATGCTGGGAAAGGTCAGTGAAAGACAGGAAGGCCTTCAACAAGATGGATGGTCACAGTGACTTTAACTATGGGCTCAAGTATATCAGAGATGATGAAGATGGCACCAGGGTAGGGTTCAGATCCACTGTTCATAGATAGGGTCGCTATAAGTCATACCAGACTCAATGGCAGCTAACAATGACTTCAAATAGCAGTTCTGGGCTCTCTACCTCTTCCATTAGCATGCCCTAGATTTCCAGGTTCTCCACAGCACTGACCTTCATTAACTGTCCACAAAACCCCTACCTAACTCCAGTTAATTCATACTTGAGGTCCTTTACAGCTGATCCATATTACCAGTCCTTCACACTGCTCTGAAACACAGAGCAAACCTTACAGAACTCTGACCCAATTTTGCATACACTAGGAACCCTCCACTGCTATAACTACCACTAACATTCTAGTCCTGCCACTCTCCAGTCCCCTCCATCAACACAGGATGGACCTTCACTCCACCTTGATCCCTACCAATACACAGCACTGTCTCCCAATGAGGACACCCTGAATCTTTACTCAGCCCTTTCCCCCAGAGACCCTTGATTTCACTGTTCCATAATGACCTAATGTGCACACAGGTCTTCACTCAGTATTAATTTCCATTAGCACACACCTTAGCCCTCCACAGCACTAATCCATATTAGGGAAAATGGACCATCACATATTATGTCCTTTATCTGTTACCATTCCTTACAACTGGTGGCCTTGTGGTAAGGAATCACTTTGCAAACCCAGAAGTAGACACTTCTAATCCATCAGCCTCTCCGAAGGAGAAGGATGGGAACCTCTTCCTGTGTGATTTACAGCCTCTGAAAGACGTCAGCTATGAGTCAGTTCTGCCTCAAAAGTACAACCACCCAACCCACTCAATCTTCACTGGTTCACACTCAGGTCCCTTAACAGCCTTGATATCTGTTATCCAACACTTCTCTCCATAGCTCTATCTCAACAGCACTCTCTGGAACTTTAGAGGCACTAACATAAACTGTACTCAACATAAATCAAACTGTTGATCCTTTCTCCACTGGTACACATTTATGCACTTCCATGGATCTAAAGGATGTTGTTGGTGTAGTCCTATGATGCTGTGCTGTTAGCTGTGTCTCAAATGGTCCAAATTCACCAGCTGCTCCAAGGAAGATGAGCCTTCTTTTCCCATTTTGATTTACAGCCTCAGAAACCCGATGAAAGGTCTGCTGCTTTTAGCACATACCAAGAGGGTCTCATACTGCTAAGTCAAAACTGACTGAAGGCAGTTAGTTTGAGTTTATGGTTTTGAACCAACATTAGCAGTCACTAAAACTTCAGACACTACCCCACAGGCAGTTCAAGTCAGACAGACAGACACACACAGACACAGACACACACACCCGTCTCACACCATCTTGACCTTCATTACCCTGAACCTCATCCAATTCTAAGATAATTTATTCACTTCCTTCCCTAAAGCTCTATCTATTAGCACAGGCTCAGATCTTCCATCACTCCGCATACATTCTCCGGTTCCTCCATCATTCCACTCTATTTAGCACATATTGGGCCTCTTGCTAAGCCCCTTATGACCATATGAACACATGCACAACTATGACTCTCACTAGTTCACCCTGCATTGCAAGCTCACACTTCAGTCTCAAATGGACACTTTATTAACACCATCCTGATGCTCAATTACCACATAGAGTCTCAGAACACTAGCACATTTTCTGGTTCTTCTACTACCGTATCCCCCATAATTCTTCTATTACCGTATCCCCATAAACACTGGCCCTCTCCTTAGTTGTACTCTCCATTAGTACATCTCGATATCCCTCCCCAACACCCTACTCCCTATTACACATTCTGGGGTCCCAGGACTACTCTATTCCTTCATTTACATACCGTGGGTCTTTCAGATTAAGCAGCTTTAAGACTTATTACCACACGCTACGACAGCTGAAACTCCCCTTACGCAACCTCGAGTCTCCCCTCCCTCCGCCACCCATTTCCACACATCTGGTCCTGCTCCCAACTAGCACTCATAGCACATCTAATCCCAAACTACAGACCAGGCTCAGGGCGGGGCCAAGGTCAGGGAGGCCCAGTGTGAACCCACCCGCCCCGGTGCACTCTGGGAAATTCGCTACGCGTGCCAGGTAGACGAGACTCCCCTAGGAACCTACAGGGTTCGAGGTTGATTCAGTAGGAGGAGGGGCGGACAGCTCCCACCCCATGTCTAGAGGACGCGCTCACCGGCGGGGGCGCATGGGCAACCTCAGAGCCTCGGGACCGGCGTGGTGGCGCCTGGGGTGGCAGCCTGTGCTGAGGCCGCACGACCTCCTTCTCCTCCTGTTCGCCGCAGGCGCCCATCCCAGTAGTCTTCGGCCATGGCTGTTGGGCCCGGGCCGCCGCCGGCTGAGGAGGAGGAGGCGGCGGCGGCGGCGGCGGCGGCGGTGGCGGAGGCGGCGTCCCGCTCAACCGGCCATGATCTCGGCCACTGCAGGCGATGCCCCCGGACTCGTTGGCGCTGGCTCGAATCTGAGTGCTCAAGGTTTGTGGGTCAGCCCCGACTCCTCGAGGAAACACAACAGATCCAGAGGCCAAACAACCAACAGCCCAACTGCCTGCACGCACCACGCTTCGCGCATGCGCGCGCCCGCACGCACGGAAAAGGGTGAAGTAGGAAGGAGGGGACTCACCTCAGACTGCAAGTACCAAAAGACGCGTCTGCAGCAGGAGAGGATACAGCCATTGCGTGCCCACCAGAGAATGTGGCGCTGACCCTGGAAAGGCGCCAGGGGAAGTGTAGAAATTGCTTATTACTCAATTCTGGTCTTGCCAGAAGCTCCCTAGCGCCAGGGTAAGCAGCAGCTAATAACCGGGATATCAGTTACCACTCGCTTCCCCTACTCGGTTTCACTTGGTATATTCCCATGGTAGCAAACTGGGGTTTGCCATTTTTACAGTGACACTTTTACAGGAGACAAGTCTAGCCTTTCGAGGTGTTTCTGAAAGCAGGGATGACTTTATAGGAGAGGCGACCTGGAGAATCTTTTGCCTTTGCCACCTTAGATAGGACGGAACCTAGCTCCGCCCAACTGTTCCCCGCTCTCCCCCACCTTTATTCCCTCTTTTAACGTGTACGGGCCCCACCCTTTGGGTTGCCGCTCAACCAATCGAGCTTGCGCTCCCTGATGAAGCAGAGCAAGAATGAAGGGCGTGGCTGAACCTAAAAGCCCTTTCCTACTGCCCCCCCCCAGCTTTCTTTGGCTTTCTCCATTAAGGCGGCAGCGTTGTATTAGGTGCCACTGAGTCAAGGATTCATAGTGGCCCTGTCCTATGCCATCCTTATCATCTCTGACACAATCGCAGGAGTCTTCTTTCAATGACATTTTAAACATAATGTCCCTTTCTAAGGAATAACCTCTCCTAACAAGGGTAAAGGATAGTCTCCTTTTTGCTCTTAGCTCCTCTCATTACTGGCCGAATGCCCACAAGGTGCTTGGTAAAAAAAGACTCTTGAAATTCACCTCACCTCTAATTCTCCCATTTTATAGCAGAACCTTAGAGGACAAGAAAGGCTGAACTCCAGTGGGGCGGGCTTTGTCACTGCGCATGCCTGGAACCTGGGGAAGGGAAGGGCTTTTTGTCTGTCTCCCAAGAGCAGCGTGGCACAACATACTTGCCACCAGCAGTCAGGAAATCAAAAGTGGGACTGCATTGGAAAAATCTGTCAAGTTTAACTGTCAGACTAGAGACTAGGGTGTGCCTGATTCAGACCAAGGTCTTTTCAATTGCTTCCTATGCATCTGAGAGCTGAACAGTCAATGTGCTGGAGAAGAGTACTGACTATAACATGGATTGCCCAGAGAACAAACAGGTTGGTCCTGGAGAGGGTGAAACCAGGTTGCTCCTTAGAGGGAATGAGTTTTGCCTCTCATGCTTAGACATGCGTAGTAGAGGGCCCATGCAGGAAATGCAGACCCTGATGAGAGGGATTGGCACAGTGACTGTAGCAACGAGGTCAAGTGTGTCAGAGATGGTGAGGATAGGGCAAGGTTCAGAGTCAGCACATAACAGCATGATCCCAAATTAACCTCTTCCCCCTGTAACTTTCATACTATTGAGTGTCTGCTTGTGCCAAGCACATTTAAGCAGTCCTAATACCTCACTCCTTCAATCTGGTTCCTACATGAAACACAGCTCAAATGGATAGCCATCCACTCTTATGTTATACCCAGCTGAAAACCATCCTCCTGCCTTCTGGGCTTGACTTTATGGCAGCCTCAGTATCAATATCAGGTACCTCAGGTTCATACGAGGAGGAATTTACCAGGTCATTATAGAGACAAATATTTAACAAAGTCCACCCGGGCAAGATGTCCTCAGGTCATTTGCCTGAGTTCATCTCCTACCCTCATTCATAGGTTAGCCGCCTCTGTGCTTTAAGACAGATACAATTCAGATGCAGAACTTTGAACTTGCTGTCCCCATCTTCTAGAACAATTTCCTCCAGATACCCACAAGGTTCATTCAATGCATCAGTAAAGCTTTCCCTGACAACCCAATATAAAACTCCTATCTGCATTCCCCTAGTTCCAGGTTTCACACCAGGCTCCTTTTTAGGTACCTTTTAAATCACACCAAGCAACCCTTAACACAATTTACTTTTTGTGTCTCAAGATTTAGAAACTATGTGGAAATAAAAGCAATACAGTGAATAAGGTGTCTTGAATCGCAATAGGTGGGATTGTGGAGAAAGGAGGTGGAGAAGAGTTTGTAAGCAAGCCTCAGATATTATAATGGCAGGGATCGACAATAGAGAGGCATGAACAAAGCATCAAATGTGGAAAAAGTACCTGGGGTAGAAACATTTATAAGGTGGAACACTATCCAAGTAGAAAATGAGAACCAATAACAGAATAGTCATCCATGCAGAACAGGCTAAGAAAATAGTCACAAGAAATAGACATGGATACATAGGTTAACAGCTGGCCAAGAAAAGTTTGGGAGGTGAGAAGAATTATGATAGGAGTCAGGATCAGGGTTGGGTAAGCTATTGTCAATATCTAGGTGGAAGAATGAGGAGTCTAAGAATGAGAGAGCTGGTTAGGTAGGGAACAGAAGTATGAATGATAGGTAAGGGTACCAAGAGTTGGCACAGCTGTGGCAATGGTCAACTAGGCTGATGTCTTCAGCCATCTGGAGTGCTGCACCAGGACCAAGGACAGGATGTGGGCAATTTCAGACTTGGTGGGGCCAGTTAAGAGGCTTCTTGCCTAGACTAACCAATAAATTCTTAATAGCCACCACAGTCTGCAGTCTCATTGGTAGAATTAAGGACACTTCAAGGGTAGGAGGGAAAGCAAACCTGAAGGCGGCAGGGTGGTGCTGGAAAGGGAATTCTGTATAAATGTTCTCGGACAAGTAATTTCCAGAATAAATACAGAATATATCTTAAGGCATTGGCATTTCTCAGTCCAGTAGAGGTTTTCAGGCCCTTGTGAGTTGGACTAAGGTCACCACAGACATTCCTGGAACTAGGAACCATGACTGTAAAGGGTCTGAGCCCTTCATGCCAGGTAGGTTTGCCCCAAGGACAAATGGCATGTTTAAGTAAGCCTTTGGCTGCTTCTTGTTACATGCCATCAAGTCGCTTGTAGCCCCATATCCTGCTCTATCCTTTGCCAACCTTATTGTCTCTGACACTCCTACCCTCATTACCCCAGTCACTGACTCAATGCATCTCATCGAGGGTCTTCTCTCTTGAGCTGTCCCTCCACCCTCCCAAGCATGACAGCTTAGTCACTCTAATTTTCTTAAGGAAAAAGATTTGCTTAAAAACTACTCTTCACTAACTTTAAAAACCATATAGTAGATAGTGAGGAGATGTAGAAGGTGGAATTTGAACCTTGCTCATATTAATAAAGGTTCATGGACCAGGGATGTGCTATGGTCCTGGTGCCTCCATTTCTTTCCAAGCAAAGAGGACATGAAGAGCTTACAGTTTCTGTATCTTCTTAGCCCAGAAAACCTGAATTTTGGGCAAGTCCCATGCTGCTGGGATAAGGCAGAGCCCTTTAGGATAGCACTTGAACCCAGACATCTCTGGGAAGTCCCTTCCTTTCCTGGGACCAGCAGGGCATACCACATTTGGGTTAACAACTCTTTATTAGGTTTGTGTTCCAAACAAGGTAGTAAGCAGCAGGCAAAAGTTCAGGGAGGGAGATGGTGAGGAACACCAGACTTGGCTAGCTGTGCTACGGCCAAAGGCCAAATGGGAGCCCAGGGCTAGGAGGGGTCTGAGAATGGTAGTCTAGGGGCAGTCTAGAGGAGTGGATGGTGTCAGCGAATGGTGTATCGTACATAGGGGACTTCGACGTCCTCGCCGCTCTCGTCGTTGCAACACAGCTCAAGCACCAGCGCCCGCACATGGCGGCCCAGCTTTCGCTTCGACACACGGCTCACAATCTCTGTCATCCTGGGAGTGAGGAAGCAGAGGCTCAGGAAGACAGCAAAAAAAGGAAAAGCAGAAGATGGGACAGAGGATGTGAAAAGGCAAAGTACTTAAGTGGGGTATAGATATAAGGCCCCCTACCCTACACCCTCCTTTGTTTTCCCCAGCCTGCCCAGCAGCCAACTCACGGCTGATCCAACCGTTCCTTGAGCTTGGCAGCTGGCATGAAGAAAGAATACAGCATGGACACACCCTGGGACAGCATGGTGATTTCCAGTTTGTGCTCTCTCTGTGGGAGTGTAGGGGGGACAGTAGCATTATGGAGGTGGCTAACCTGTATACCCTATTAGATAAAGTTAGAGTAAGTAAGGTACTGTACCTTAAAATAGTCAAGGAACTGTTTGAGAGTCATCTCCTCACCGTTAGGCTGTAGTCCTTGTACCTCAAAACGATCCCACAATGTCCACTCTTGGTTATAGTACTATGGGACAAGGAGGAGAGTAGGATAAGGGCCACCCCCAAAAAGGTCCAGCCCATGTCAGTCTGTCCCACACTCCACACACTCACGAAGACATGTCAAATCAGATCACAGCCCTTTCGTAGCTTTCATTTTACCCTGAATATGCAATGAAATGTTTGCAAATGCCTTATATATCACTGGAATCATATTCTTTTATTTCCTCCCATCCCCAACCCTCATCTCATCTTCTTGCTCACTCTCTTGGCTCTAACTACACTTCCACTTACTGCTTGTTTAAGCATGCTAGGTACATTCTATCTCAGTATCCTCACAAAGACAGATCCTTCTGCCTCGAATCCCCTTCCCTCAGAAACTTGCATGACTTATTCTCTCACCTCCTCTATAAAGTCTCAATTCCAATGTAATCTTTACAGCAAGGCCTTCCCTGAACACCTTTTTTTTTAAAAAAATTTAAATTTATTATTAATTTCAGTAAAAATTTACAGAGACTTTGGATTTACATTCATTCATTGTTGCACATTTCTCCCCTCCCAACCCTCCCCCCCAGAACACTACCCTCTTGGAAAAGTAAAATTCTTTCATTGTTTTACAAACTCTCCCCCAGGTCCACTCTACCATGTAGCCTTCGCTCTAGACTCCTGTCATGACAAAAATACCTAATCCCTTTTAAACAGTTTTCTCCCTCATCTGTTTCAATGCAGTATACATTATTGAACCCATTTTTCTCAGTCTCTCCCCAAACCCAAGGTCAGTCCTGTTTTACAACAGTGGCACCATGCAGTATTTGTCCTTTTGTGACTGAGATACTTCACTCAGCATTATGTCCTCCAGAGTCACCCATTTTGAATAATATTGCATGAGTTCCTTGTTTTTCAATGCAGCATAGTATTCCATTGTGAGAAGATACCACAGCTTCTCTATCCATTCGTTTGTTGATGAGTGAACCCCCCCATTTTAAATCCCAAACACACTCCTTACCCTAATTAGTCCTAAATTCTTGCCATACTCAGTTTTTGGGTTTTTTTGTTCCTAGCATATACTAGTTATTGGGGGGGGGGGAGAGAGATATAATTCAATAATTAGTGAACAAGAAGTACAAAAAAAAGAATAAGTACAAACCTAAAGATGACCTTATCTAGTGAGACAGAGAGAGAAAGACAAACCCATCCCTCCTGATGCAGGCCCCTACCTGGTGTCGAGGTGCAGCAAGTGGCTCAGAGAAACCAAAGAAAGGCAAGGCCAAGTTGAGGAAGCCATTTTTGTAAGAATCAAGCTGTCGATGGCCCTGCACCACCTTGTACAACTCCAGACACACAAGGCCAACCACAGCTGCTGTGGTTGTGGCAATGGCTGGGATGATTTTCCCTGCAATCAGCTTGCTCTGTGATTCAGGAGGGGACCATAAAGGTGGTAATTAGAAAGGCACAGGGTGTAAAAAAGGAGCTGAATGTGAGGAACTCAAAAGCTGGAAGGGGTGTAGTCTAGATTCCACTCACTTTGTGGCGGTCTGCAGGAGGAATGTTATAATTCTCTGCTCGGAGGTTGGATGCAGCAACAATGAAATCCATATGGAAGTTGCTATCATCATCCTGTTATGCATGGGAAGGATGGGCATAGAATGGGAAGAGGGTCATAGGAGAAAGACATTTCCTGGCTTTTAGCAACACAAGTCTACCACAATTACCTGCTGGGCTCTCCCAAATCACATAGGGATGGCTAGGGAACACCATTCAGAGATGTGTGACAGGCCTATGATTTAGTACCCACAAAGACCTAGGGCAGGCTCTGGACCCCAGACATCTGGGGTCTAGACCTCAATGCTCAGTTTAGACCTCAATGCTCAGCCCACCTCCCTTGCCCTTCCCCAGGGCTCCACTCAGCACCTTCTCAAAGTCAATGGGGTACATCTTGAACCCAGGGAGTTTGTCTGGGCTGGGCAGTGTGGCCTTTAGCTCCTCTAGACGGCTGTCATCTGTAGGAAAGAAAGAACATTATCAGCCCCTTCAAACCCAGGTCAGAATCTGAAGTGGAAGCAGAAGCAGAAGCCTAAGGTAAAGGTAAAAGATTTGTAAAGGAGAGACATCCTGTAAAGAAGAGAGGTAAAGGGGGAAAGGTTGAGCAGAAGAACAGAGTACAAACCTAAAAAAGACAAGAGTAGAGAATATCCAGAAATATTTCTAGAGATACTAAGGAACAGAAACAACACTATTATAAGTATGAAGATCAAGATGGAAGATCCTTGGAGAGGATACAGAAAATAGGGGAATGTGGAAGAATAGATGGGAGGGAAGAATGGAAAAGATAAATGAAGAAGTTGGAGGGAGAACATACAGGCAAAGCCATAAAAGGAGAGCAATAGAGGAGTATATAGAAGATATGAAAAGAGAAACAGGCACATATGGAAGGTGAGACAAGTAAGAGATATATGTAGAAGAGATCGAAGAGGTAGATATGGGAAGAAAGCTGAAAAGAAATACACAGGAAAGGAAGGAAGCAGGTATTTGGAGGGGGAAGAGCAGATATTTAGAGAGTAAAATAGGGATATCTAAAAGGTGGGAGATATAGGGAAGGTAAATAAGAGTTACAGATGTACGATCTGTGGAGGGGGAGGAAGAGAAATGAACAGGAAGATGGGTAGGATAAATACATAGAACAGAGTTAGCAAATTATGATCCCATGGACCAAATTCAGTCCGTTACCTGTTTTTGTTACATAAAAGTTTTATTAGAAAACAACTACACACATTTATTTGCATACTGGTCATAGCTGCTTTTACACTTCAACTGCATAGTTGACAGGCTGCAAACACCATACAGACTATTTTAAAAAGCCTAATACTTAATTTTTGGCCCTGAGCTGGGGTAGAGACAGGAATCTGGAGGTTAGAGAGGGAGTTCTGAATGCCTATTGGGTAAAGAGTTGCACCGATAATGCAAAGGCACATGGTTCGAATCTACCAGCTGTTCCATGGGACAAAGATGGGCAGTCTCCGCCTGGGCAATTTACAGCCTCTGAAAACATGCTGGAGGGTCAGCTATGAGTCAATTCTGATGTGACAGCAATGAGGGAGGGTAGATATAAGGAGATGTTGAGAGGAAGATGAATAAAAATATATGAAGTGAAATACTAGCATAAAAATGTGAATGATTAGGAGACAAAGCAGTAAAGATATATAGAGAGACCCCATAATGGGAAACACTCCCCAGATAAACAAATCAAGAAGAAACAAAGAAGGGAGAAAGATAGGGAAACAAAGTGACATTTGAGCTGGGGGGGGGGGAAATAAGAAAGAGGAAGTAAGTGAATTTACCCCAACCATCTCATTTCATTCCACAAAAGAAAACTAAGGCTCAAAAGAAGGTATGGGGAAGTCACATAGCACAGCTAGTGGAAACGGGTTAGTAGGGGGATTAGGCTGGTCAAGGACAACAGGTGGCAGCATCTACTTGAAAGGCCAAGCATCCTTACCAACAGAAGCATTGGCACTCTGTAGCTCCTGATCAGAGACGTGGATCTTGACGCCAGACTTGGGAGTGAACTCAGGAACCTGCACAGACTGAAGAAGCATGGCCACAGAAGTTCGGTCCTGAGAGCCCATCAGTCCATAGGTCTGGGCAAAAAGGTTGGCAGCAGCCACCACATAGTCCAGATGTAGGGGCTGTGAGGAGGAAGTATATGGAAAGGTGAGCACATCAGCCCTCATTTGGGAAGCCTCCACATTCAAATTATTTCAACCTAGGAAACTGCAGACTTACATTGTTGGCATCAAAGGTGAGCGGGTGTGGACATCTCTTGGGCCCAGACCAGAATGGGGCACCAGAGCTTGTGAGCTGAGAGAGAGTGGAGAGATTTTTGAGGAGCTGGATCTGAGAGTAGAGTCTTCTCTGACAAACTCACCTTGGTCCTAGATAGCTCTGGATGGGCATATACAGGGGGCTAGAATCAATTAAGAAAGACTCAGACCAAAGGGTCCTACAGATGGAGGTTTCAATGCCAGGTTGAACTACAAGCTTGCTAAGAAAACTACCACCAATTCCTAAACATTCACTTTGTGCTATAAACAGCTACTTTAACAAACTCTAATGGATTAATTACTAGGAACTATACTTAATAAATATCAATTAATCTTAACACATTTCCCAATGAGGTAAGATTACTGTGATGAAGAAACCAAAATGCAGCAGAAAAAGTATGACTTACCTCAAGTTCAAACAGAGCAGAAATTTGACAAACATTCTTGTGGACTTTAAGTTATTCCCTTTAATCTTTATGGCCCTGACTAAAAACTGGGTATAATTTATCCTACATAAGAAAGAAAAATAGAAACCTACTCCCTTGCTTTAAAGAAAAGGGATGGGGGAAGAACCAGGTCTGCACAGAAAGCACACAATCTCAGAGTTATTCAGGGTATGTGCTGTAACTGGATTAATAACTAGGAAGAGTCACATCAAAATCCCACAGAAGGCCGAGTGAAGTGCATTCTCCAAAATGACCCAGCAAACATGTATTACCTGGTCAGGAGGGAAGTTGTGCAGCAGTTGCCGAATGTTGTTAGAATACTGAGTGTGCCAATGGTGGCAGGCCCAGGTCACACAGTCAGCCCAGGTCTGTGGTCGTTGTAGCACTAGACTGCGCTGCACAGCCTCCAGTACCTCCAGTGGTTGGGTACCTGCAAGTCTCAGTGTCCGCTCCACAAACCTGGGATCTCTATTAGGAACCAGAGGAGCAAAGGGACAGGATTACTCAGTGACCCAGGACTGTGTCAACTTCCTCTAAAGCATATCACAACCCTAAATGGCATGAGGCTCAAGCAGTCATTAATTCACTCAAAAAGTATACCTAGTGCTAGGTGTTACAGTGGTAAAGAAAGCAGACAGAATGTCTGGGCTTGTAGGCAGGAGACAGAGCAAGGAGACATTTAGGTAGATAGGTTACTCACGTAAGGTACTGGTTAACATTTTCTGCTGGCTGCTTAAAGAGGCCTTCAAACTCATCCCGAGCCCACTGTAGACAGAGCAAATTACATGGGGTGATGGTGGGAAAAAATGAATAAAATTCAAAAAGTAATAGTCTTAACTACTGCTTTAACCTTCTACACTTCCACTCCTAAACAGAAACCTCCCACTCTAAAAACTCCAAACCTACTGTTGTCAAGTTGATTCTAACTCATATAACAACCCTCCATCAGGTTTCCAACCAAGGCTACATTCTTCATAGGAGAAGACTGCCCACCTTTCTCCTATGGAGCAACTGGTGGATTCAAACCACTTATTTTTTTGTTAGCAGCCCAACTTTCAGTGCATTACACTACCAGAGGCTCCTTCAAGAACCTCAATTTAGGACAATGACTCTGATCTGGGCATGGGTTACACGAGTATATATATGTGAGTAAATGTACACCTCAATAAAAAAAGAGAAATATTCAGAATAAAACCAAAAATTATCCCAATCTAGGACCTAGAGACTCTAAAACACAGCTGTGCCTTCCGAAAATTCCAAAGACAATATTGTCATTAGTGAGATGGTTTGTAACATGCAGATATTATAGAATCATATTAAAATTCTAGCACTGCCATATACTGTTTAATTTTGTGGCTTCACATATACAGTATTAACATCTTTATGTCCATATTCCTAAAAGATCTTACAGTAGTAATGCCTACTTCATGGGGTTATTATGAAGGAATAAAAATAGAGTCTACTTAAAACAACCTTGTTATCCACACCTATTTAATTTACATATCCATTTTACAGGTGAATAATCTGAAGCACAGAGATTAAGTTCATGGTCTAATAAGATTGCAGTCAGTACATAAACACACCCAATATGTTTACTGCAAAGTTGGAAGGGCAAGTGACTGAACTGACCTCCTGCCCCTTCTAAATACTCTGAATGGTTCGGCCTCAAAGATTGCAACCAAAATAATTATGATAACACAGAGGCTGTCCTTGGTTGTTGGGTAATGACTAGAAACAATCTGGAGTTAAATCAGGTTCTATTTCTTGGCCTTGGTGCCAGTTACACACTCAGGTGTGTTCATTTTGTAAAAACTCAGCTATATATAGATATATATTCTATGTTAACATGCATTATATAAACAGAATCATCCTGACAAACCACCTGTTATACCCATTCTGAGCAACAACGGGGAAGATAAGAATACAAGCCGAGAATTAAAAACAACCAGTGGTGGTTTGTTTGCACAACAACAGTTCTCAAGTCAAGGTAATTTTTCCCCTGGGCCCACCAGCCGCCACCAACATTTGGCAATGTCTGAAGATATTTTTAGTTGTCACATCTTAAAGGAGAGTTTTTGCTGTTATTAGATGGCGTCAAGTCACATATGACTCATAGCAACCCTATGAAAAATAGACCTGAACCCTACCCATGAAATAGCTTTTCACTTGCTATGCATCTGAGAACTGGACAATGATTAAGGATGACAGAAGAAAAATTGATGCTTTTGAGTTGTGGTGTTGGAGGGGAGTACTAGATATCCCAAAGACTGCCAAAATAACAAATACATATTTCTTGGAGAAGGTAAAGCCAGAGTTTTCCTTGGAGGCAAAGACGATGGAAATTTGTCTCATACTTTGGGCATACTGCTAGGAGAGGCTCTGACTTGGAGAAAGGACATCATGCTTGGAAAGGTGGAGTGATGGCAAAGGAAAGACCCTCAATCAAGTTGAGTGACACAGTAACTACAACAATGGGCTCAAGTACAAGATGATGCGGATGGCACAGGATAGGACAAGGTTCCGATCTGTTGTCCACAGAGTAGCTATACCTTACTCAACAGCACCTAACAATAGCAGCAACATGCACAAAGCAAGAGAGATGAAGCTTTGACAGCTATTTAGTATAAAATCCATACCCAAACATCCTATAATACCACTGTATCCCATGATAAATATTTGGTCCCAAATGTCAATGTAATGCCAACGTTTAGAAATTCTGTTATATAGAAACATATTCTCACTTTGTAGATGCATATTAACATATTAGGAAGTAAAGTGTTGTGATCTCCATGAAATACTTCAAAACAAAAATTATTATCTCTGAGAAGGGGAAAACAAATTTTTTCAAATTCTGGTAAGGAATATTTGCATGTTCACCTTTCTTCATACTTACATGTTGAGAAATGTTTTAATTAGAAATGAAGGGAACAATGAATCATTTTAGAAACCTATGTTGCTAGGTGGGAAGTGATGGAGGTTAGTTTGGAGAAAAACTTCTCTTTATTTTTTAAAATTTTTTTATTTTATTTTTTGTGTGCGTACCCTCAAACCAGGTCTGACTGGTACAGGAGGAGATTGCCCCTCCTTCTCCAGCAGAGCATCTAGTGGATTTGAACCCCATACCTCTGGGACTGCAGTGCATCTTCTTGCCACTAGGCCAGAGCATCCTGAAAAACTTCTCTTATAAATAAGCTTGTAGCATCTAACTGACAGGAGATTGATGGTCTGAGTGCATGGCCCCTTTAGCCACCTCCCAAAGCCATTCACCTGCAAAGTATGCTCGATGGCATTGGGGAAATTCTTCAGAGTGCAGATAGGGATAGACTTCTCAGGTGGGTCTTGGCTAGAACTGTATGACTCTGTAAGGAATGGGATCACCACCTGCACATTGCCTTTGGTGCCCAATGTGCCTGATTCCAGCAGGGGCTTACGGTAGTACACACAGCGACGATCCATGTACATGCCTGTAGGGAAGGAACGGGGGGAGCAGTATGAAAAAAAATATCAAGAGAATAGGAACACAGATATCCTGCCCCAACTCACTTAACACACACATCCGTGCATACATCTGCACATGCTCACAACTCTGCCTTTGTTCTCTTCACTAGCTGGCCTCCAAACTCACGGGCATCCACATTGTCCAGGGCATTGGCCACACCATCCAGATTTTGGAAGAAGTCATCATCATAGATGCGCTCTGTATCAGGGCCTACACGGTTTTGGTGGCTTGTTACCCGGATGTGTGGATTCATCTGGTGTACAGCTGCAGCAGCTGTGTCAGACTTCAACTTCTGGTAGAGTGAGAGGGTTCCAGGGTAGGGATAGAGAAATAGGTGTCATTCATGTATATATTCAACAAACCTTCACAAAGCTGTTCCTCTGTGGACTGATTTCTTGAATTCCAGGCTCAGAGTTCTGGAGGATCCTTAGTTTAACAGAAGAGGCTGTCTGTGGTAATGCCACATGACAAGTGGCAGAGACTCAGTGGAAAGGAAAGCAGTAGAATGGAGACAATGCCTTCAACATCGACATTTCTGACTACATAACACCTATTATTCTTTAACAGCACCTAAGGTTAAGGCAGATGCATGCAGCACACTTCCCCAACTAGGGTGTCTTGCTATTCCCTTACATCCTCCAAACTTTTGCAGAACTGAAGCCTTTTCAACAAAGCCCTCTTTAACCACTGTAATTAAAACAGCAAATCAACCTTCCTTAGCACTCCCAATTCCCCTTGTACAGCATTTACCACCTAACTCTCTCTCTCTCTCTCTCTCTCTCTCTCTCTATATATATATATATATATATATATATTTTTTTTTTACTATTACTTTTTATTTACTGTTTGCTACCTATCCTCCCCAAGGAGCATTTTTCTTCTGTTCCTTGGTATATCCCAAGTGCCAGAACAGCATCCACCTCAGTAACTATTTGGTGACTAAATGAATGAATGAATGACAGAGAATAGACTCTGGGCAGGTAAATGACATTGTCACCTTCAGAAGGCTTCCCAGATAGTTCCCTGTATAACCTGGTTTTCATCTGTGCAGGAAAGTGTTAACACAGCAAACCTAAACTACTATCCTTGAAATGGTCTACTTGCAAGGTTAGCTCTTGGCTGACATCTGATAATTTATATTTCAGGAAGGTTTCCACCATTCCTAGAATAGATAAAAATGGTTCACCATTACTAACTACACTGTTTGTGCAAATAATATGATTTATACTGTGCCCCAGCTTCCCTTCTCAGAGTAAAGACTTTGGGTAGGGGCTAGGCAAAGACTATGTGACAAGCCCCAGGAAATACCTGTGTCTCTATCAAGATTTCATAATCTACAATATTTCATGCATTGGCACAATTCATTGCTGGGGAAATTATGGACTCCTCTTGTGTGACTCTCCTAGGAGAAGACTCTGAGGAGCTTGCACATGGTCTTCTCCTGGACTTCGCCCCATGAACATTTTCCCTTTGCTGACTTTGCTCTGTAGCCTTATAGTGTAACAAAACACAATCATTGGATATGACTAAATTCTGAGCCCTGTGATTCTTTCTAGCAAATAACTAACCTTAGGAGGCCTCAGGGACGTAGCGGGTGATATAACACCCAAACAAAAAGAATCAGAAATCAAAAAGGGGGAAGGGGGGATGAAAAGTGGTGCAGATTTAGTGGAAGGGTGCTTGATAAATGTTTGTTGAATTAATGATAGAAGAGAAAATGAAGAAAGGAAGAGCTGAAGGGAAAGAGAGATGGAAAGGTTTCTTCAGTAGGGTGAAAACAGGAAAAAGCCAAAAGTGATTTCCACCCAACTCACCGTGACATCCCAGGGCCGGAACAGAAACTGCCGGTTCAAATTGGACTTCTCGATAGTGTCCATGTCTGTGACAACAATTTCACCACCCTCTCCACAGCCCAGTCCCATCATGGCAAAGTTCTTGAGCAGCTCACAGCCAATGGCCCCTGCACCCACCTAGCAGGTGGTCAAAAGAGACAGAGTCTGGTCAGGGTGGCTCAGACTACCACAAAACCACTTATTACTCTTCACTCTCACTGAAGGCAGAAAATGAGAGGCTAATGCCACATTTAAAGTGTCACAGCCATAAGAAATAAATCATAGCCAGAGAGATGCATCCGTTATCTCTCAAAGAAAATGCCAAAAGAGATGAGACAAAGATACAAGAATGAAAAGATTCACTCTTGGATAGCAGAAGAGGTAAGCAGAACTCTGATGATGTAAAGGTAGTTGGTATGCAATAGGTTCACTCACCAGGAAGTACTTCTGCTTGCCCAATTTCTCTTGCATATCTGAGCCAAACACAGCTACCTGCCCATCATAACGGTTCTGACGCTGAGAAATACAAAGGGAGGAAGGTCAGAGAGTGAATTCCCTAAAAATGTCCCCAGTGATGATATCCCTATGAGTTCCATTCACATACCGGGAGGCACTTGTCCTCTGTAAGGACCCCTTTGTCCTCAGGAAGACACTCAAGAGCATCAAAGTATAGCCATTGCATGATGGGCATAAACTTCCCAGAGCAGGCCTTAAGTTGGGGGGAAAGAAGAGGGGAGGGAGAGGGTCAGTAGTTTGTCAAGGCTTGACAGAGATGAAGAATAAATGGTAAGAGGCCAAAATGTGCTTTGTCCTTTTTTCTCATCTATACTGACCTTCATGACCTCCTGGGCAGCCAGACCCCCAATGAAGGCATTTACTGGTGCTAGATCACCAGCAGCCACATATGACAACTTCCGAATAAGATCTTCATCCAGATTATCTTGCTGCACTGCTGGCAGGGTTTGTGCATTCACAGCCTGTGCTAGGGCCACCAGTTCTAAAGCATCCTCCTGGTGGGGCAGAAGGAACCAAGAGCCCCTGAAGTCAGGTCAATGCATCAGGAAGGAGAGGAAAAGGGAAAGAGGGTTGACAGAGAAGGGACAGTGGGTTTAGGTGTCCTAAACATGTGCCTGGCTGGTTCTTCCACTGACTACCTACCTCATTTCGGGGTCGAGGTGGTCGGCCATGCTGAGCATAGAATTGGTGTAGGGCCTGGAAGCCAATGTGCAGCTGGGAAGGACGTGAATACTTGGCAAAGTCCGTTAATACAAAGTCAGGCTCTGCCAATGAGGCCAGCAAGGATTTCTGTGGAAAATAGGGCATCAGAATCAGAAGAACCTGGAAATGCCTGGACATACCCTCCCAAAGAACACTCTCCCTACTCAGACACTCACAAAGCTAATCTTCTTAGGTACTTTGACCTGACTGACGATGCCTCCACGGATATAGTCGGAGAAGTTGGAGGTATCGCAGATGCTAAAGGTGTAAGGACCTGGAGAGGATGGGGAAGCAGTCAGTCTGTACAACACTAAGATTTACAACATACTCAAGAAAAAAAGGGGAAAATCCCATCACTGACCCAAATCAGACATTAGAAGCCACTTTTCCCCTGCCCTGGACTCCACTTTGACATCAGAAACAATTTCCTCTCTGCTCTCGACCAAGAGTCCCTGGGCCCAAGTCTATACTAGAGGACCCCCTCTGCTTCTTGCTCTAATCAGTTCAGAGACTAAGGTTTTCTTCGCCTCAGTTCAGCTGAAAAGAACCCATCCCTTTAGGAGCAGCATCTCTTCCCCAGTACCCACCAACTCTAGTTAGGCCCCAGAGGACTGACTGTCTCTAGTTTACCTTCGATACCCTGGGTATGTCTCTTCTGACTCAGTGCCCAATTTCTCCTCCCTTTGATTCCTAAGCTGAAACCCCAGACATCTCCTGTATTCCCTAATTTACCCGCAGCCCTAGCTCACCCAGGACTTTGATCTCTATGGGCTGATTTCCGTTGAGTTCGGTCATTCCCTGTACTTCTGAAAAGGAGACAAAGTCGCCACTCTCAAACCCATGCCGAGCCTCATCCAAGCAGGTAACCACACCGGGACTGTCCTGGTTAAAGGAGGAGTCAGCCTCAGAGGCAGGTTCAGGGTACTAGGAATAGACAAGGTGGACTGTTGCTGTCTACCTGCCTGCCAGGATAGCTGAGGCTGTTCTCCTCACCTTTGTGACCATAGATATCATAGCACTGAGTGGCTGCTCCCCATTGGGATCTGTGAGGATCATTTCTTCTCCAAAGTCACAGAAGAGTTGCCTGTAGAAGGAGGCAACAGAGTTGACATACAAATTTCATGCATGAAGAGATCTCACGTATCCCACAAGATGCAGTGAATACTTGCTGAGCAAATTCAACCCATCAATGTTGGGAATCCGCACCGCTCATAACACACAAAGTTAAGGTGAACATACAAAACCCAAAATCATGGTGGCTAATCAATCTTGGCCTGGTAGGGGGCCTAGAGAAGAAAGTAGAGACGCACAGGTACTCACCCAAATAGACCTCGAGTATCTGCCACCACCAGCTTGATGCCACGGCTATGACAGAACTCACCCACTCGCAACTGATCCTCCAAGGGAGTGTTGGTAAGGACCACCACCTGTAGAAAGGCAGAAGTTCAGGCCAAAGGCCCAATACTGAACTAAAGGAGAAAGAATAATGTGAAAAGGCTGACTGAGAGAACCAAGAAAGTCCTTAAGAGATGTTCAGGCTTTGCTGGCTCTGCCTCCATCACGAATACAAAGTACCTCATGTATGTCAAACTCAGTGTAGGTGAAACTCGTGGAGAGATACTAACCTCTAGATCATTAGAAAAAGTTAAAGAGGTATCTGAGAGGTCAGAGTTTAAAGACTAGCTGATTCATCTGACAAACACCCACCACTTGCCTGCTGTGCCCTGGAAGACAAAGAATGAATAAAACTCAGTCCCCAGCCAAAGTCTGAGTTTACTACTACCACACCCACCTGCTCCAATTCTCAAGACATCTTTTCAGCCTTAATCTTTGGAACTTTGCTCTTTGTAGATACACTGTTACCTACTAAGCTCCTACAACAACAACAACAAGACTCACCTGTAGTGTTCTGCATCTCTGTTAACAAATAAGGCAGCATCTCAGTTCCTACAATTCCTCTTTCTGGCACACAATTTATTTTTCATTTAACGTTCATATAGCCATTATCATATACTAATGGTATTCTAAATACTTAACCTTCACAAAAACAGATCCGTATCATTACCATCTTCATTCTATAAACAAGAAAAACTAAGGAATAGGAGGTTAAGTGACTTGCCCAAAGTCGTATAACTGACAGAGCTAGAGACTCACATCAAGGCAGTTTGGTTCTGTGTTCATAACCACTATGCTGTACTATCTGAATATATCTTCCTGCCTGAAAAGGCTTAAGCTCCCCAAGGACAGATTGAGGATCTAAATCCTGCCTGCAGTGCTCACTTCAGCAGCACATATACTAAAATTGGAATGATACAAAAAAGATTAGCATATTGAAAGGATGACACATAAATTTATGAAAACGTTTTTTATGTTTTTTTATAACTGGACGAATGGAAAACAAGTTTGCTTTGTAAACTTTCACTCAGATCATAATTTTAAAAAATATAGACTCATATATGTGTGTGTATATATATGAAAATAGTTATTTTGTATTAAAATAAATCTTGCCTACAACCCCTAGCCTACCCAAAATGTAACCTGGCAGATGAGACCATGAAATATTGAACAAATGAACAAACCATAATGGACTCTGAGATAATTAGGCAAGAGGTTATTATGTGTGGTGCCCCAAGGTACCTGGAAGCCACTAAGGAAGTCCTCAATGAGGGGCCCAGTGTAGGCGGTGACAGGCACATAGCTGTTGAGTTCAGCAAGGCGGGGCTGTGATACCTCAGCCCGATTTTTACCGATGTCCTCCTCCCGAAGGTAGAACTACAAGGAGGTGCAGTAGGGAAAGAAATGAAGTAGCTGTAGAGACCAGGAAGAAGGGGGAATTCCTTAGCAGAGGGGAAAGAACTGGGAGGAGGTACCTGGGAGGAGAGGTCAGCCCACTGGGCAGTACCCTGGTCATGTAGAGTGACAGCCTTGACCCCACCAAGGATGATGTTCTTGGCAATCTCCACGCCCAGGCCTCGAAGGCCTGATACCAGTACACTGGATGTCTGGAGTCGCTTCATTGCCTCATGGCCCAGCACATACCTGCCAGATTAGGGGGCACTCTGAGTCACCCAACCCACCTGAGAACAATGGCCCTTCCCACTTCTCAGTCAGGCTTTAGCCCCACTTACAGCTGCCGGGAATAAAGGCCCTCGTCTATGTCTGTTTCGCTGCCGTTCTTTGCCATTCCCTAGGGATGGAGGAATATAAAAAAAGATTTGAAGAGATAGGCAATAATACAAAAGATTGTTCCAACCACCACCAGTTTTAAGGGAGGGGACACTCACGTTGGTTGGCACCGAGGGTACTTCGGAAAGCAAAGAGTGGGCAGGGGAACAGTTAGAACCCGGCTTTGGATCAGGCCCGGACACGCGGCGTTTCTTGGACAGCGGCGAGCTGGACATCTGGAGTAAACAGTAGGGTCAGAAGTGAGCCTTGTATGCACTGCTAGGTTCTTTTGTTAGTGATAATTACAGGGGAAGAGAACTAAGGTATGAGCTACTATACTCAGACATAGGGGTGACTTTTCCAGAAACACAACAGTTGTCAAAGATCTGAACCTTGGTAGTCTGGCTTGCAAATCCATTCTGTACTGACCATTAAGCTATCTGCCTCTCTTCAATTCAGCATTAACAAAGGAGACACTCAATTCCTGTGGGATGTAAATTATGACAAGAATGTATATGCTGGAAGGTTGGAGGAGGGATGTGGGTTCAAGACATCACTTTCAAATTTTGACCCTGCCACTCCTTGACAGATGTCATTTAACCCCTATGGGCCTCGGTTTCTTTGCCTGTAAAATAAAAGTGAAAATACCACTTACCTAATTCAATAAGGTTGTTGAAACGATAATAACACAGGGCATAAAACTTAGCACAGAGAAGGAAAGTAACAACAAACTACCATTCTCCTCAACCTTAACCCAAGGAGGAAGGTGAAGAAGGGATATTAATCACAGAAGGATGACGACACAATATGCCATGCAGAAAACCCAGTAACCACAAGGACTGCTCCAAACTTTGGGAGAGGAAAATGAGCGCAGATTCTTAGAGGTTGCAGGCAAAGAGAAAACACTTATTTCCCAAGCCTCACTTCTGCAAACCCTTAAGCAGGCTAACAGTAAGTATTTATTAGAAATCTTCTCTGTGCCACGTGCCACATGCCACACTAAGCACTTTATGAGCCTTGTCTTGTTGTCTTCAGAGCACCTAGTACATTTTGGACACCCTATCTCACAGTGAAGAAAAATTATTTCAGGGATGTTGGTGACTTAACTGAGGTTCCCATAAATAGAGTGGTTAAGCTAGGACAAAACAGGATCTGCTGACTCTAGAAAGCCAAGCTACTTTCCAGTAACTTTACCATGTTTCATCCTTTCAATAGCCCTGACAGTATGAAACAGGACTTTAATGTAATTGCTTGACAAATGAGAAAACACGAGTTCACAGAAATCAGGTAACTTGCCGAGGTTCATACACTAGGTCCTAGAGAGAGAAAAATATAATCCTGTGGAAGTGATATTGGGAAAAGGGTGGTGTTGTGCATGTGCACACATAGGGAGGAAGACTAGATCCATACAACAGTACGTCTCAAGAACATTTCTCCTTGCTGCAATGTTGCTCTTGTCCATAAAATCTTCCTACAGTGAGCTTTTTCTGACACACAACCACATCAAGAATCCTCACTGTACCTAAGATTCCATCTTAGCACCCGTCATACTCTAGTACCTTCTGGATGAATAAAATCAGTACCTAGCTCAGAGCTCACCCAGCCTACAAGCCAAGCAAAAAAAGAGTTAGGAGGCTAGTTAGGGTTCCTGAGTCAGCCAGCAGAATTGCTGGGAATACTAAGAACTAACCTGGTCAGGAAGAAGTTTAGTAATTTTATATGGGACAAAGGCAAATAATATTTTCCATTTACTGATTCTTTGACCTGGGGTAGAGATCTTACTCTGACCCTAATTTGCTTCAAAAGTAGGGACCAACATCCTTGATGGACTAACTGGGAAGGTTTAAGAAGTCAAAGTCTTTAATCACAGTATACAATGACCTGAGAAGACAATCTCCCCAGGTATCTGTAGTGACCACAGTTATTCTGCCTTATTATTTACTTGTTTAAAACACACCATCTCCCCACTCTAATGCTGGGGCAGCAAGGGTCTAAATAGGTTTTGGCCAATTGTTCAAAATTGGATTTTAACTGTAGAACTTTGGAATTGCCTTGTCTGAAGGCAAACAGAAAAGGTCTGGGGCAAAAACCCTAAAGATGAGCTAAAATCTCCCTGCCCACAGCAAAATATTTTGTAATAAAATAACCACATTAAGCAACAGTAAGTAATATTATAAAACAAAGTCTATGAATATGAAAAACCAGAATGATTTGTAAACCTTTATTTAAATAAAATAACTATCATAGAAGGGGAAAAAAACCCAATCAAAAATGGATTTCAACTGCAAAGCTTTGGAATAACTTGTCCCAAGGTAAGCAGAAATGGTATAGGGCATTGTCCTCCTTTGGTGGTGGTGGGGAATCTACACTATTTTTCACTCAACATTTGTTCAAGCTCCTATATAGGTAGTTTCAATTTACAATGTATGAAAGCTAGTTTAAGGAAATGTATCCTTTTTTATGAGACAACATTATTGCAACTATTGTTAGTATTATTAAATATTACGAATAGTAAACAACATTGCAATGTACAGTTTGCTGGAGTTATTTTCACTGTTCACTCACAGTTATTCAAGGTTTACTATTCAAAACACTGCTATATTAAAAAACAAAACAGGCTGGTATTCCCTGCCATCCTTATGCTCAGAGGCGGCCCTGGAGGGTCATTAGCAGTGGCTCAAGATCTTACAGAGGATGAAGAAACAGTAGAAGATTCAATAATTGAAGATGAAGATGATGAAGCTGAAGTGGAAGATGAACCCACAGATTTGGCAGAAGATAAAGAGGAAGAAGATTTATCTGGCGAACCTGAAGCTTCACCAAGTGCAGATACAACTATCCTGTTTGTGAAAGGAGAAGATTTTCCAGCAAATAACATTGTGAAGTTCCTGGTAGGCTTCACAAACAAGGGTACAGAAGACTTTGTTGTTGAGTCCTTAGATGCCTCCTTCCATTATCCTCAGGACTACCAGTTCTATATCCAGAATTTCACAGCCCTTCCTCTCAACACTGTCGTGCTGCCCCAGAGACAGGCAACTTTTGAGTACTCCTTCATTCCTGCAGAGCCCATGGGTGGGCGGCCCTTTGGTCTAGTCATCAATCTGAACTACAAGGATTTGAACGGTAATGTATTCCAAGATGCTGTCTTCAATCAAACTGTAACAACTATTGAAAGAGAGGATGGATTAGATGGAGAAACAATCTTTATGTACATGTTCCTTGCTGGTCTTGGGCCTTCATCAACTTCTATAATCTAGAAAGCGCAACAGACCCATACAGAAAGTAGAAATGGGTACATCTAATCAGAATGATGTTTATATGAGTTGGATTCCTTAGGAAACTTTAAATCAAATCAATAATGCTTCACCAAGAAGGTTGCCCAGGAAACGGGCACAAAAGAGATCAGTGGGATCTGATGAGTAAATGTTCCTTTATGCAACAATTCAGTCTTAACTCGCCCTAATGTGTTTCGGCCTGATGGGAATGAATGCGGAGAAGCCATATCACCATAGAAGGCGCCTACTACTTATGTGTGGACTGAGCAATCAGAGTCTATGGCGATAATATTGCTGAAAGTGCACTGCATTTGCTTTTCTAAAGTAACAAATTTGGGTTAAACCATTAAAATCTGTGTGTGCGCGTATGTATGTATGGAAGCAGTTGATCTTACCAGAATCATTGTTGAACTACTTGAAGCATGCTTTTAGAATACCAATTATAATGCTTTGGTCTCGTCCTTATTGACATGTTCTTAAAACTCCCTTCCAACCTAAACTTAATGACCATTTGCCCAATAAGATTACAGATATCCTGTTTTAGACTGTTTTAAAGAAAATAATTTATTTCTTTAAAATAGGTCAAAAATCCCCATTGATGGGGAGCTCTGGTGGCCTAGTGGCAAGGAGCTGCAACTACAATCCCAGAGGCTCACGGTTCGAATCCACCAGATGCTCTGCCGGGAAAGGAGGGACAATCTCCTCCTGTACCAGATCTGATTTGACGGTACACTCACTCACTCACACACACACACACACACACACACACACACACACAAAATCCCCATTGATGGTACAAATTAGCATTGTATTGTCATTGTTGATGTTTTACAAATAGTATTCTAAAGGAATAAGCAAAAGTAGCTGCTTTTTTAGCAATATCATTGTTTTGGCATTTTACTATATTGCACATGTTCAGAAAACTACTCAGATGCGTGCAAGGAATTTGGGGACCTTTAACAACAAAATAGTGAATGTGATAGTTTTTCTGCCTTTAATAGCCAAGACTCCACCCATCCCCCCTCTTTTTTCTAGTACCTGTGCAAACTGAGTTGTACTGTCATTGTTGTTCTGTTTCTGATGCAAGGAATGTTTCTGCAGTGATTTTTTTTAAACCTGCTTAGTGTTGCTTTTTAAAGAGGTGAATTCTTTTTTTCTTTTATAAAACAATTTTGCTTTAAACATCTTTTTTTGGTCTAAGAACTAAGCAGAAAGTCAAATTACAAGGCTAGAGATAAATACAAACCAGTTCTAATCTGTAAAGGAAATATCTTTGATTTTTATTTGTTAACTAGTTGTTTGGGCTTTTGGGGGTTGTATGACATGAACTTTTTTAATCTGAAAAAAAAATTTTTAGCACTTAAGATTCTTAGAACTACAATTAAATTTGACTCTATAAATCTTCATAGAGTTGCTCTTGCTCTAAGTAGTAAATGAAGTTTACCTTAAATTGTGAAGTAAAATGTCAAGGACATATAAGAGCCTTTTCCCCCTTTGTCTTTAAGCCATATTCTCTCATGCATATTTTGTAATGAGATGCTAATATCTGTTTAATTCCTGATCTCTCTATTCTCCTGGGGGTTATATGCCCTGGCTGACTGAGCCAGTGCCAGTGACAGTAGAAGTTGCTCCGTCACTTTTGAAGAATGCGGGCAGGTGGGGATAAGATGTCAGGTCACCTATATTGACACTGCCAAACTATAAAGTTTTTATATACCTGTAAAAAAAAAAAAAACCACCAAAACAAAACAAAATACTGCTGTAGAGCAGGCTATGAAAACTAACCATCTTAAGGTGAAGTCATTGGAAGAAAGCCTCATTGTGAAGTTAGGCACTCACTATCTGTACTTTCAAATAGTTCCATAAACTTGAACTAGGCCTTAGAGTTTCAAACTTGCCCAAGATCTCCTAACTCGTAATTCTGAGGCCTGAGGTCTTCCATCTCCAATGTAAATAAGAGAGCTTGAGAAAAAAATCTGAATATGAGAGGGGGCAGGAACAAGGCTGAGTTACCAGGATGGAGAAGTTAGAGCACAGAGAAGAGATATTGGAGCCTGTCAAGACTCCTGGGAGGGGTTCAATGAGATGGTTGTCTGAATCCATGAAGGTCCTGAGGGAGATGAGAGAGGGGAGGGAGATGACAAGGAAGTCAGGAATGTTAAAAATTCCAGCAGGGACTACCAAGGTTTCCCAGAGGCTGCAAAGGATGCAAGAAAGCAAACACTACAACCCATGAAAGTTGCACAAAGAATGAGTGCAGGGCTCTGGAGGTCTTCTGGAAGTAAAAGGAAATCTGTAACCAAAAATAACAAGGCTTTCAGGGAGCAAAGAGTCTGGACGCTAGAAGGCCAAGAAACTTAAGTTGATGCTAAAGCTCAGAGTGAGGTTAGAAGGACTCTGAGGCCAGATCCTTTTTAAAAAAAAATCTAATGAAATTAAAAACAAAGAAAAACACGATAAAAAGTTTCTAATGAGATACAAAGGCACTGTAGCAGTCTCTGACAGGACATGCTAAATAAAACTGCTCTGTTGTGTACCACTGAGTTGGGTTTTCAGAAGCATTTAATCACATGAGGAGAAGCTGGTGGATTTGAACCAAGTGCCTTCAGGAATGCAGTGCAGTTTCTTACCACTAGGCCACTAGAGCTCCCTGATCTGAGGGAGTGTAAAAGGGGAAACTGAGCTCAAAGTTTAGGCCCCAAAAAGTTGAACAAGCAGATACTAGCTAGGTCCTTAAGGGGGTTGGATTTCCTCCAACTAGTTACACTGGACTGACAGATACTCTGGGAATAGCTGCTGAGAGGGAGCTTTCTACTCTGATGAGGACAACTGGACCTATTGGAGGGATGAATGATATTGACAGTGGGGTTCTGTGAGGCTGAAAGCAGAAGCTGAGGGCCTTTGTCTAAAGATACTAGTGGCCCCCTAAGGGAAGATTCTAAGGCCTGGTGTAAGGTTAAGAGATCTGTAATAGAAGAAACAGAAACCGTGGTCAGCTTTTGAAGGTAGAGAGACTGGGTCCAGGGTGGAACTACGAAGATGTGAGGATCTCTAACAGATATCCCAACTAGTCATGCCTGGGTATCCACTTCTCCAGAGAGAAAATACTGGGTGTTACAAGTATCTGAATTGGAGATCCTCAAGTCTACAAGGAGTAGTAGCTGAAGTAAATACTGGGATCACAAAAAATGGAGCATTCCCTAAGATAGTGGGTTAGGATGAAGCTGAGCCACTGAATGCAAACGGTGGAGGTGTCTGAGACAGTCATCCAAAGAAGGAAAATTCTGAAGATTATAGGAGTCTTCTAAAGCCAGATGCCGGAAAGGTGTGTCTGTCTCT